CAGTGAAGCATTGGCTTTTACAGAGTAATTTCACTAAACTGAAAAGTTTGCTGAGACATAATCTTAGTGACTACAGACACCCAGAGAGGCTGGATCTGTCTTATGAAATCAGGCCTGCTGAACTGGTGGTTAGCAACAAATCACTACCTTTTAGTTTGGGGTGGGAGGACAGTAACCTTTAGCAACTTCCTAAGAAGGAAACACAAATTAAAGGGTATTCTGATAAACAAAGCCTCTATAATTGAGGCTTTGTTTGCTATCAGGCTCTACTCTCCTGCTTCCTAGCTTTGCCTCATGCCCTTACTCTGTATATGCATAGATATGGTCATTCCCTGTTATACCCTTTTGACATGCATTATTTGGAGTTAAGAGGAGAGTGGCAGGTATTTTCTCTTGACTTCAGCTTCTCAAATGAAACCCACCTCTTCCCAGGACACTGGTCCTTATTGAGTACAATTTTCCAGATTTTACAATATGGTCCTTTCACAATCCAGCAAGTGAATTTGGTGGCATGAGGGCCCTATCTTCCTAATGTAAGAGGAGGAACTGACTAGGTAATTCCCTCTGTCTCCCATCCCTTGTGGGTGGAGGTTTTCTTCCATGTGTCAGTGCCACCAATTGAGTTTGACCCACAACACAGAAGAGGTCACTGCATAGCAATGAGGGTATGAATACACATGGGCATTCTGCTAGGTTTTCAAGGGGGTGGCTTGATGACTTACTTCTCTCTTATGTACTGTACCTTCATGATATATTTTTGGCTTTTCCTGTGGCAGCTAAACAGTGTTGGCTAATGAAGATATTCAGTCTCAAAGTGGTCTGGGTCTAGAAAGTGGAGAATACCGGTGATTGTGGGAGTGTGGACATTTTAAAATAGTTCTCTGTCTGCCTCCCTTTGTAACTGACAGTAAAGCTTTGGTACCAGAGACCTTGTGTGCTTAATTCATGACAGGAGGAGCTTCCAAGGGATGGATGGGGCCTTTGGAATTGGATTGAAGATGCTGGAAAAAAGAGAAGGATGGTGCATGTCAATAGGCCCATGAGATGTGAGATGAAGAGGCAAAGACATATTGTCCACATATATCCTGAGACCCCTTTCTCACTGAGAGTGACAGAGGCTGCCCTGGACTTTTTATTATCGTATCTCCAAGTAAATTAAACTTTAGATTCTAAGAACTCTATTAGTGTCTATTAGTATATTTAAAGAATATGCTTGTCTTAGTTTGTGAATGTTGCTTTGAAAAAGGACCATGACCAAAAGCAACTTGGTGGAAGAAATAGTTTATTTCATCTTATGGCATTATTATCCTTTATAAAGGGAAGCCTGAACTCTTCAAGGGGGATAGAAACCTGGAGACAGGAGCTCAAGCAGAATCATGGAGGAACATTCTTATTGGCTCTCAAGGATTGCTCAGCCTGCTTTCTTATATAGTCTATGGCTACCTGCCCAGGAATGGCTCTTCTCACAGTGATCTGAACCATCCTAAATCAATCGTTAATAAAAAAAATGCCCCCACAGACTTGCTTACAGGCCAATCTGATGCAGGCATTTTCTCAATTGTCATTCCTTCTTCTCACAGCATTCTAGCTTGTGTCAAGATGACAAAAAACTAACAGGCACAATTGACCCCTTGTTAACTTGATATACAAATGCATCACTATTGAGCTATAGCCTTTCCTTTCTTTTTTATTCCCAAGATACCTAATGCTACTATCACAATATAAGCTATAGTATATAATTTGAAAGGTTCCATGTCTTTAAAAATGCAAACACATTAGAAGTTCAATCTCTTTAAAATATCCAAAGTCTTAAAATACCCATTGAAGCAAAACCCAAGTACAGATGTATAAGTAGCCCAATGTCTGACATCTGGAACTCACAATCTTTTGGGTCCAAAGGGCTTTGGGCTGCTCTACTTCTCTAGCTCTGTCATCAGTACATGTAGCTTGTCTCATAAACTTACACTAGCTGCTTTCTACACCTGCTGATATCCTTGTTAGTCATTCATTCCACAGTCCTGGCATCTCCAATATGCTGTGAGCTCCATAGGCTGCATCTTTACCAAAGGCCTCCTGACCTCTCTTCAGGACCTTGACTCTGCTACATGATACCAAACTTCAGCTTTTCTTCATGACCCCTCCAATCCTGGAGTCTCCACTGCAACTAAGGCTTCTCTAGATTTATACTGTGCTAAGCCAGCTGCTGTCCATTTCCCCTTCAGCCTTGCAGCTTTCATGCCATCAAAATCTTTCCATCTGGAAGACTCTTATACCCTAAGTTCAGCTCCTAGTTTGCAGCTTTGGCCATTTCTCACCACAACTCTGTATGCTCATCATGAAGGAATGCTTCCTAGAAGTTTTTACCTTAGTGATTCTGGTTTCTTTTTATCCTTACTGGTTTTTCAGCCCCATCATTGTCTCAGTAAAGCAACAATTTCACTTCAGTGGTTCTGGTCTCTTGTGGATCACAGCGGATTCTTCAGTCATGACTGATCAGAAAACACAGATTCTTAACTCCCAGTATCCTGTGAATGGCTCTTCCCTCTAAAATAAATACTCCAGGCCTCCATCTTCCGAATTGGTCTTAGCATTCTTACCTTCTAAGTTCCCACAGCAGCTCATTAACTTCTGAGTACTTAATGAATTTTCTACCCCAAAGTTCCAAACATTTTCACAGTCCTCCCCAAAACAACATGGTCATATTTGTCGCACCAATACCCTGTGATCCTAGTACCAATTCCTGTCTTACTTTGCTTCCTATTGCTGTGAGAAAGACTATAACCATTCAACCTGGGGGAGGAAAGGGTTTACCTCATCTTACAGTTGCCATTCATCATAAGCAAGAACTGAAGCAGAGCAGAATCCTGGAGGAGGCACTCAAGCAAACCCATTGCTCACTGGCTTGCTCCCCATGGCTTGCTCAGCCTACTGTCTTATACAACCCAGGGCTACCTTGCCCAGGAGTGGCACTGTCCACAGTAGTCTGGGCCCTTCTTTATCACTCAGTAAGAAAATGTCCCCACAGGCTTGCGTATAGGCCAGTCTAATGAAAACAGTTTCCCAGTTAAATTTCCCTCTTCCCAGGTGACTCTAGATTGTGTCAAACTGACAAAGAAACTAACTAGAACAATGCCCAATGTCCATATGTGCATTCAGTTACACAGTGTAGATTACTTGATGACTCAGATGTGCTAACTGAATGATACTGGAGACTTCAGTATATACTGGTGACTTCAGTTAACATGTATCTTCTGAGTCAAATTCCTTAAGATTGAGTTGATCAGAGATGTTTAATTTTGTGCTGCAATACTCTTTCCAGGCTGGCATGCTTGAACCTTGGCAGAAGCGGACAGAGGTCTGTTTCTGGGAGGTGGTAATGCTGTTTGCATGGCTGATGCCTTATTGGTAGAGTGTCAAGATGAGAGTACCCTCCTGGGGTACACTTAGAAAGTGAGGCTAGTTCTCAGTCATTTTTGCCTGCAATCACCAGGTGGGCCCTAGGTAAACTGAGCTGTGATGGGAGTTTACTCAAGGAACATGATTCTTTTCCTGCATCTTGTTAGGTTTCACATAGCAGATTGTCACTCAGGCTCCCTGTTCTAAGGAGGGGCCACACAATGGTGGCCACACAATGTGGGTGCCACACAATGATATTTTGAGCAGAAGTGGTCTGAGTAGCGATGGCAGTGGCCCCATAAGATCATAACACAACTGGAAAATTCTTCTAGTAACACTGTAGCTGCCTGAATGCAGCTCATGTGTTCCTGCTGATGCTGATGCAAACCCTCTGTGCTGCGGATCCTCAGAACCATAGCTCATAGACTGGCACAATAGTAAACAGGTGTGGCCTGCACACTGTAGTTATCATTAGTTTAGAGTGCATTTTCCTGCTGTAAGCTAGGCATGGTGACACACTCCTGTAATCCCAGCATTTGGGAGATTAAAGCACGGGGACCCTGTGTTTGAGGGTTGGGCTATATGGGAAGACACTAAAGAAATACTGTAAATAGAAGAAATGCTGTACATCAGTACACTACATCACACCAGCACCAGCCTCACCCATCTCATATTGACTCCAGCTCTGGATCAGTTCAGGTGACCATGTGGAGTAACTGGCTTGTGCCATCTAGGTCTGTGGAAGTGTACTGTGGGGGTTTGTACAACAGTAAACCTCGCAGATTTCATATGGAGCATGTGCCCTCATTGTCAGTAAAAGATGTGTGAGAGGTGCCAGGGTCTAGAGACCTGCTGTGTCCTGTGAGCTCCTTACACATTCTTTCAAGTTTAAATTTCTTGAGTATGATTCTTAATTCTAGCATGGTTCTTTAACTAGGATCCTTTCCCAGGATTGTGACAGGGCTGTAAGGTTTTGAGGCTCAACTCTCCGGTTCTGTTGTTAGATAGGTAGAAAACAACTTGCCAGCCTTGGGGAGGGTTTCTCGGAAACCAAGTGAAGAAACTGCTGACAGGAAGGCACCTGGCTTGTTTTCCTTCACATTGGTAGAGTGCCTTTTAGGACTTGGTTTCCTGACTTGCTTAGGAAGTAATTAAATATATATACATACATACATACATGCTACTGAATCTTCAGAGCCTAGAAGTGATATCCTATGCTCTTAAAATATCTTTTAGCTGTTTTTCTTCACAGATGAGAAAAAAAATACTGTTAGAATACTGCCTGGACTTGTATGGATCGGATGGGTGTTCCAGCCAGGCATAGTGGTGCACACCTTTAATCCAACCCTCAGGAAGCAAAGACAGAGGCAAACTAATCTCTGCGTTCAGGGCAGCCTGGCCTATATAGTGAGTTTCAGGCCAGCCAAAGCTATAAAATGAGACCCTGTCTCAACAAAACACATCAAAGAACCTAATACATATCCTCTCAGAGCATTAGGGAACAGCAGACATTTGACTTTCCACCCACTGCCATTCACAAGGAGACAGTGTGTCTGGGTCCCTTGGCTTCTTCATAAACACTGACTGAAGGTGTGTCATTGCAGGCTGGGAGTAGTCCTCCATCCACGGCGGCTCCAGTGTCTTCCTTCTCTCGTACTTCTGTCACACCATCCAACCAGGACATCTGCAGGTAACACTCTGCTTCATGGCCTGTGTCGGCCCAGAATTCTGAGTTTTCCGTTGCTCTGTCACCCCACCTTTGGTGTAAGCAGCCTGATTTTATGTGCTGTCTGCTCCTCTCCCCACTTTGATGGCGCTCTCTTTAAACTTGTTTTCCTTTCTGTGCTTTATTCCACTGTTCTGCATGCAGTTCCAGTGCAGGGTTTTCTGAGTGTTGTCACTACAGTCCCGTGCAGTCTGCTGTTGTCTTGAAAGCTCCTCCAGGCCAGAGTTCTCTGACACAAGGGCTCACTGTGACAGTTATCTGTAAGGACACATTACAGGCATCAAAGAGAAATCCCTTTGGTTCAGACTGGGACCAAGCCTCGAGGCCTGCTAAGAACACTAAGGCCAGAAGATCCCTCAGAATCTCCAAGTCACTAAGTGATGTGGGTGAGAAGACCCAGGATACTTTGGAAAGCTTTGACTATATGGAAAGAACTTGCTCCGAAGGGAAATTGGTGCTTCCTCAAGGTCCGGCTCTCAAAAAGAACAGGCTCCGTCTTAAAACAAAAAGAGCAGAGCACTGCCCACCCCTCGACCATTCCAAACACTCCCATGTCATATCCCTTTCTCCCAACCATTCAGCTGCCTCAAAGAGGGAAGTTGGCAAGGGGAGCGTACGCATTCCACTCTTGGAGGAGAAAGCTGATGGTGAGGCCAGGTTAAGAAGCCAGCGATTGCTCCGGTACCTGTTCTCACTCTCCCGTGGCTCAAGTGCCAGTAGCCTGCATAGGTTCCATGAGCTGGAGAGCCATGCCAGCCATTTGCACACTGCCAAGTCCTCCAGCTGGCTGGCAGGAAGCACAGACTTCTGTTCTGATGAAATGGGAGATGACGACGTCTTCGAGGATGCATCATCTGCCAAACTGAAGAGCAGGGTCCTGCGGGCGCCCCTCTGCTCAGTGGAGAAGGACAGTGACCTGGATTGTCCTTCTCCGCTCTCTGAAAAATGCACCCCCATCTCTCCCGTGTCCACCTCAGGGGATGCCTGCAGGTTGGTTTTCCAGGAGCCACCATCTGGCTGTCTCTGCTAACACCTCATAACCTTACCTTGATTTAATATGTGAAGTTTCTGCAAACTGAAGTAGTAAGACATTCCATTGCCAGCTGTAGAGCAATTGTGTTTTCCACACAGTGACACCATCTGGAAGCTAATTTCATAAGATGCAGAAAGTGCACATATTAAACCCACTCCTTTCAGCAAAATAAGTAGGCTTTGCTTAAATATTGGGAAGAAGTAGTGGCTGAGCTTCCTAGCTTGCCTCTGTGAGTGGCTTGTGTCCAGTAGCCTGCCCACAGAGCTCCCTCTCTCTCCTTCCTTCCCCTTTCCTGTGTGTCCTACCCTTGCCCAGTTTCCCGCCTTTATCTTCCTTGTACAACATCCTTGCCGGGCCCAATTTGAGCTCATCTGTTCCCGCCCTTGTGCCTCCCCTAGTCTCCCCTTCTCTGTGTCAACTGTTAACCTTGCTTATGGTTGGATCAGAAAACCTGTTTCTGAAACAAATAACACAGCAGTCTAGCCAGGCGTGGGTCAGGCCCTCTTCAGAACAGCTGTTTCTACCTGTTATCCAGCTGCTGGAAAATCTCTGTTCTCAAATACCTAAGTTCATGGAGGCTGGTAGTTGAATCCAGGATGTTTCCTTGGAAACAATGGCTGCTTTAATAATTCTTACTTAATGTGGTGAGTAGTCCCCAAGAGAAAGGAAGTTGCAGAACCGTTTGGAGAGGGCGGGAGGTGGAGCTCTTGTGCTTGTGAAGGTGAGGGTGTGGCTTCCAGCCTTTAAGCCACTGTGCTATTTTGGAGGTGAGAGTGCTGATTTGGGTTTTGTTTTTCCTCTCATGTCTTATGTTCTGGAAGATGTCTTTATTGTTGCCTAAATTTTATGTTTCAAGTTTGAAGTCTTCCCTAAAAATGCCTGTTTTGTCATTTCTTGTATCAGTCTTCCCTTTCCATTCCAAATGCCGTCCTGACGCTGCTGCATGGTAAGCTGACATTGAGCCAATCGTGACTGTTCTCATTGGTGCCTGTGTGTCCCTCTGCTGAAAGTCACTCTTACAGTGTTTATTTCTGAACTTTGTTTGCCGAGGAATTGGCCTTCTGATAGTGTCATTTTCCCTGTTCTAGACCCTTCTTTCACTGACTAGCTTGTCTTCCTCCATAGGATCTGCCACTGTGAAGGAGATGATGAGAGCCCTCTGATCACCCCCTGTCACTGTACAGGAAGTCTCCATTTTGTGCATCAGGCTTGCCTGCAGCAGTGGATCAAGAGTTCTGACACACGATGCTGTGAGCTCTGCAAGTACGAGTTCATCATGGAAACCAAGCTGAAACCTTTGAGGAAAGTACGTAAGAAGGGGGTCCGCTGGGAGAGTCACCCTTTCAGACTCTGCACCCTGGCCACCCGTGTTCACTGCTTTAAAAATCAGGGGTTGGAGTTCACATTGTAGATCGTTGTTTCTGATTGTGATGTCTCAGCTCTGACCTTCATTTATAGCGCTTCTTTCTCCTTCACGTTGAAACTGTTTGACTATCCGTCTTCTCTCCGTGTCCACCAGCTGTCTGTGACAGCATGCTCAGCCTTTAGCTTCTTATGTTTTAGCTGTTGTATGGCTCTAGTTAGGACACACACTCCTCAACACTCAGCCGGCTTGTTTGTGTATGTCTTTCCTGAATGAAAGGGTTCATGGATGAAGAGGTGCCCCGAGTCACTGCTGCCTTTCTGGAACTGGCTTCCCTTCAAACTTGTCAGTTTCATATATCTCTCTCTGTGCCAGGCACAAAGGATCACATTTGGAAGGAGAAAAGGGGGTCCTGCTCTGTCAAAATCACTAATATACAGGTTGCTAGGGCACCCATACATTATGGGGCCAATGAAATGCTAGGTTATTTGGCAGTAGAACACAGAGAAAGCAGTGGTCTTCATGGGCCAATCTCATGGGAGGAGGGGCATTGTAAATGGTGTGGCTTTGAAGTAGTTCTAGATGTGTAAGAATGACAGGCAAAGGGAAAGGGCTTCACAGGGGTCATACTGCCCATGGAGAAAAGGTTCCACTTAGGTGGTGAATGTGAGCACTTCAGGAATGGGAAAGGCTTGAGCTGTGGACATGTTAGGAAAGAGATAATCCAGGAACAGAAGACACCAAGATGCTGACTCTGCTTCAGGTGGGATCTTGCTATTTCTAAAACCCTAACAGAAAGTAGTTGGGTATTAGAGAAGGCAGGTGCAAACTGCTCAAGGAAAGGTTTTGCCTGGTCAAAGTCTCTTGGAACCTACTCTGTGTGAATCTGTCACATGATCCTGCACTACTGAGGTAGGGTAGATCATCAATGAAGCTGTTTTCAGTTAGCCTGATAGTCTGTCGCCATCATTAGCAGAAGATATGCAGAATGTTTACACTTTGTTCTTTCTCTCTACTTTTATGTCTTTTCTTCTGATTTGGGAGCCAGTAAATGACAAAGCCAATCTGTTTGGAGTAAATTAATGAGCTTCTAGAGGGATGGCACTGGCAGAGACTGCTTGTACCAAGAACTCTTAAGCATCGATTTCAAGCTGTTGCTGCCAAAGTAGCAGAGGACCAAAGAGTGAGAGCCTTCTGCCATTCACCTTCACAACATAGACGTGACTCATCCCTAGTGTGTTGTGGTGTCATCACTCTTCTTCCATCCCTCCATGTCAGTTACCACTTAGCAGCTGGGTCTCAGCCGACATGCTTCTTTGTCAAGCTCTTCATTGTCTGCTCACACGAATAAGGAAGTAGCTAGTGGGAGGTCACTGCTCCTCTCCGAACTAGCTTCTCTTCATCGCACAGAAAGTTGGCTATATCTGCTACCTCGTTGAAGCCAAGAGATTTAAAGTGGTTCTGGGTATCTGGGGAAGTGGATCTCACCTGGGAATGGGAGAGAAGGAGACCCGATCATAGTCATGAGCAACAGTCATGCCCACTGTGGTCCTTTGCTCTGAGTCTGGGCCTCATGCTCTCTGTGTTGTCTTTTCCAGTGGGAGAAGTTGCAGATGACTTCCAGTGAGCGAAGGAAGATCATGTGCTCAGTAACATTCCATGTCATTGCTATCACCTGTGTGGTCTGGTCCTTGTATGTGCTCATTGACCGCACCGCAGAGGAGATCAAGCAGGGTCAGGTGACAGGTGAGTGTCTGGACCATGGGGTGAGCATTGTTCACAGGTCCTGGGGTTTGAGGTGCTGAGGTTCAGAGCTGTTCCTCTCTCGAACACCTGGGTTTGTAAAGGATGAATTCCATGGATATTTCTCTGTGTCTTCAAAGTCCATCACAAGAGATGAGACTTGAGACTCCTGAGAGAGCAGGATAAACCACAGTGAGAGCTCTCCATGCTGCCTTTGGGGGTGGGGGTGGGGCGGGGGTTGGGTGGAGGGTTGATGAGTAACAAATCTACTTACTGGTTGTGGAGTTCAGAAACTGGGTCCTAGTTACAGCTTAAATGAGGATCCTGACAGGCTAACTGAGTCCTCCTCCCTTGCAGGAATCCTAGAGTGGCCTTTCTGGACTAAACTGGTAGTTGTGGCCATTGGCTTCACTGGAGGACTTCTTTTTATGTATGTTCAATGCAAGGTGTACCTACAATTATGGAAAAGGCTCAAGGCATATAATAGAGTGATCTATGTTCAAAACTGTCCAGAAACAAGTAAAAAGAATATTTTTGAGAAGTCTGCACTAACAGAGCCCACCCTTGAAAATAAAGAAGGGCATGGAATGTGTCATTCCACCACAAATTCTTCTTGCACAGAGCCTGAAGACACTGGAGCAGAAATTATTAATGTCTGACGGTGTCATTTCCCTGATGTCCACAAAGAGCTGAAGGAATTTGTTTACTGCATATTGTGTTCATTCCTTCTGTCATGTAATAGCATAGACTGGAGCAGGTGACTATTGATAGTGGCCTCTCTTTTTCTCAACCGTCCTTGGTGTGAATCTCTTAGAATTCCTGTGGGGCAGATGCTGCTGGCCCCATTCTGCCAGGTTCTTGTGTGGGCTGGGAAGGTGAGAGACCCCATGTAACCGCCATGAGGAGCTGGCTGAGTGTCAGCTCCTGGTCTTGAGCAGAATAAGGAAGTAAAAGGCTAAAGCAGGGCACAGCGCAGCATGGGGGAGACTGGTGGTGAGAGAGTCCCCAGAGGACAGAGCAGAGAGGTACAGGGAGTGCTGCTGCTGGTGGGAGGGTTCCCTTCTCACTGACAAGAGCTAGGAGACAGGAAGGGAGCCCGGCCTACTCACACAAGCCCCTCCTCGCTGGGATGCTGTTCCCACATTACTCTGGGGTGGGTAAGGCCTTAGGTCCCTGTGTCTGCTGGTGTGTGACTCACTGAGCAAACAGCACTTTATAAAAGTTTTTATTTTGGAATTCCTGTGTCTAGTGGGTGTGGCACTTAAAAGAATGTCATATTTAGACATGTTTATTGTCCCTGTTATCTCTTTGCATCAAAATTGATTTGAAACAATTTCTGCCTTACATATTCTGAATAGTAGGATGTCTTTCCATGTCCAGAAAAGACTCGTGACTTCAAACAAGACAGACAAGCCTGAGATAGTTTTTCTTAACAGTGTCCATGGGAGGTGATGGATACCAAGGGCATACTCTTTGGTTTTGAGCCTGATTGCTGACAGGCCCTATCTTACAAGCCCACCCATACATTTCTGTTTTGTCAACATTGAAATGGAAGGATTTTGAGATCTAATGGATGTAAGTCAGACTGAGTATTTGGAGAATGCTCCTTTGATTGACAGAAGTCTCCAGATGGAGTGGACACACACTGTGGATACCCCTGTGATCCACCTCTGCTCCATGGTGCTGACCAAGTTCTGTGGAGTCACTGTTGAGGGCTGGGAGACAGGCCAACTCTGATATGAGGTCTTGGCATGAGCAGTCAACTGTCATGGGCCACTGCGTCATGGGCTGGCCCACACCCACTCACCGCCTTAACCAGACCTGACAGGATCATTTAAGGTTCTTAGGGCCACATGTGATCCATTATGTCATTGGGGTTACCTCCTGCACCATTTTTCACAAGACAGACAAAGCCAAATCACTACCATTAAATGGCCTTTGTCCCTTTAAAACGTCTACTGAATATGTTTTTCTTGAAGGCCATTGTCACAGTGTCAGGCCATAGTCTACTCACAATGTGACAAGAGGGACCCCAGAAGTGTCCTCTCCCAAGTGGCCCTGTTGGCTACGGGGCCTTCAGAGCCTCCTGAGGTGGGAGGGGCAGTGCCTGGGGACCTGAGCTTTGCTGCTTTTCCTGTCTTCCTCAGAGACTGAGGAAACCAACAATGGATCTTTTGTGGTTCCCAGTGCTTGGGGTCATAGGGTTCAGTGGTAGAGCTTTTTTTTGCCAGGGATTTCAGTCATTATTCAATCAGCCCACCCTTAGGTTAACCTGCTGTCTCTCCAAGACCACACAAGCCTCCCTGGGCTCACTATACCCCAAAGTGCAATTACTCACACGCCTTCTCAGTCTGGGGACACCAGGAAGCTACAGACTGCCCATTAGGGAGCTCTGACTATACCATTCAGCAGCTGTCCCTGAAGCGATGCTCACCCAACAGTGGGTGTGCAGTCACGTGAAGACGGAGATTGAAGTATGAAGTCCTGGCCAGCCACTGAGGCTTCTGTAGAGAGGACAGTGTACCTCACTGGGGGTAGTCCCTACACAACTGCCCCAGGGGTCTTGTGCCCCACATAGATAAGGTGGCTTTAGAACCATGACTTTCATGTTGTTCTCCTCATTTCAGGAAGGCCTAACTCCATCTCTTCTCTAGCTACTCTGATGAAGTCTGTCTGCATCCTTCTTCCCTTCGCAGCTACCCCTGGCTCATTTTCCCTGTAGGTGCTCTGATGGAGCAAACAGCTGTACCTATGGCAACTCAGTGCAGGAGACCAGCAAGACTGCACTAGGAAGCATGATAGCAGGGCTCTGGTCTGTCCAGGCTCCCTAGTCCTTGTCTGATTTCTCTCTGAGTAACTGTGCAGGGTTTATCTGTCTGTTTATCTGTTTCCCCTCAATTTGAGCCTGAATAATGTAGTGGGAAGATGGCATATGGCTGTACCAAGCAGATCTAGGATGAGGCCCCAGGACCAGGAGGGCTTAAGCTTGTGGGTCAGATGAAGAAGCAGGTAGTCTCAGGGTGTCACTGTCAGCCCTATCTATAACTTAACCTTTTCCCCATGTATCATGGACCCATTGGCATGCCTTTGACTTTAGCTGCCACAAGTAAGTGGGTGGGGGCTGAGCCCAAGTTCATTGCAAGATTTTTCTGGAAATATTGTAAAGTTCTCTTCTTACTCCAGGTCTCTTTGTTTCTCCTTTCTGGCTTTAGCACACTCTTTAGTCATGTAGGCCTAGTTTCCAAACCTGTGGGTGTTTCCACCTGGACTCAGATGTGCCGACCTGAGGCAGTGGGGGAGGGGGACAGTTCAAGGCATTGAGTGGTATCTTAAATGACAGGAGACCAAAGGCTGCATGAGCAGGGTGAAGAGCCATACTTTTGTGGGTGTGATTAGATGCACATGCATATTTGAAATACCACCCCACCAAATCTGGTTTGAAATAATGCAGTTTTTATCTGTAGTCCAAGAAAAGCCCAAAGCATAGGGAGATGGAGGCATTTGTTTTTGTATTGCAAGTGATTGATGAAGGTGTGTAACTGGTGCACATTTAGATGCAATGTTTAAAGCTGATTGTTAATAAAAACCAAATTTACACTGGTGTGTGTAGTGTAGTTTCTAAAAAGCACTTCACATTTTAAATTTTTCTTAGAAAATTTCTAGTAATCTGAATGTCTAAAATTTTTTAATCCTTTTGTGTATGTTCACTGTTTCTCAGTATTACTGCTGGAATAATTCTCTGTACAGGGGATTTGTTTGTGCTATACACGGGATATCTAAAGGTAGCAATAAAGTTTTTCTTTACAAAGGAGTTTTGTGATGAGAGTGTTTTCCTATGTGAAGCTGGACAACCCTTTCCAGCCCACACATAAGTAAATAATAATGAGGCTGTGGGGAGAGGGTCCAGAGGTGGGAGGGCTGGGAGTAGACGGGGTTTTAAATTGATGCTAAGACCTGTGTGACATATGTTTTAGTGTCTGGGTTACTTCTTTTAGTCATTACAACCTGCCTCAGGAGACAAGAGTCAGCCAGTTGCCCTGCTGGAAGGAAAAGGAGGGGATGCAGACCATGATGTCTATGCTAGCCAGGGCACAAAAACAGATGAGGTGGGTAGCCTGTCCTTCCAGGGCTCTCTTCTTTAGGGGAAGGCTATTCATTGATGAAGGCAACAACAGAATCTAGGAAACAGCCTAGATGTCCTTTAGCTGGTGAGTGATAATGAAAATGTAATATATATTAAAATATATAATTTTGTTCATCTGCAAAGAAACATAAAATTTTCAGGTAAATAGAACTGGCAAACACAGGCACCATACTAAATGATGTGACCCAGACAAAGAAAGACAAATGTCTGTTTTAAATGAATTTTATTTCATAACAAAATCTTCATTCAAGAGTTTTTTTTTAGGCACCTACTACATGAAAGCAGTTGGACAAAGCATAAATAGAATAAGGTAACCCTGACCCAACCAGGACAGATGTCACTTACTCTGATGGACTGTTGCTACTTAGTGTGGAAGTGCTGAGCTGGGCTGGGGGTCACAGCTGCAGAGCCGGGATCCAGGTGGGAGGTCCCTGTACTGTGTACATACTTCCACCAAAGACCGGAAGAAGCAGGAGCATGTCCCCCCAAACTAGAATAGCCAGGCCCAGGGGTAGCACTGCTAGCTAGCATGGAAAGAAGACACATCACCTGCATCTAGAGCCTGCCAGGAGTCTGGCTGCCAAAACCACTGGCCTTCCCAGAGAGATGCTGGGCCAGGAAGGCCAGGCTTAGATGGCTACACTGTTGGGAATCCTGTCTGGTGACAGGTAGTAGTAGGGGAGCTTTTTGTTCTTATTGCGCTCAGCGATCACATTGACGATGGCCTCCAGGTTCTTGCGGAATCGGGTCATGGCTTCCTTCACTGGCTTCTCAATGAAATGTTCCTCGGGGTACATGCCCAGAAACAGCTGAGAGTCAGACATGGAAAGACAGTTTAAGATGATGCTGTATGGACTTGTAGGCCTCATCCCACTCAAAGAGGCTTCGTTTGGGAGAAGGAGGGATATCTACTCCACTCTCATCATCTTTTACCTTTGTCACCTGCAGGGATGGGTACATTCATATACACAATGAACACTACGTAGCCATACAAAAGGAAACCCTGTCGTGGGAACACAGATTAACCTGGGGGCCATTGTGTGAGGTAAAAGAAGCAGGTGCAAATGCCATATATGGGATATTAAAAACTGCTATCTCACCAGGTGCAGTGGCACACACCTTTAATATCAGCATTTGGAAGGCAAAAGCAGGCAGATCTTGTGAGTTCCAGGCCAGATGCTATAACTGAACAGTATCATTGTATACACATATCACACTATCTCATAAATATGCAAATGCTATGTGTCAGTAAAAAAGTCATAGGTTATACAAATGCCACCACCTTTTCCCTATGAGAGGCTCAGGGCTGGAGCTTTAAAAGAAAATTACTCGTAGTTGCCAGGTGTTTTTTTAAGGTACAGTGGAACCTGGAAGGTCTCCGCCCTGGAAGTTCTGTGGCCTCTGTCCTTTGTCTTTCCCATCTTTTAAGGCTTGAGATAGGCAGAGGCCCTGGGCATCAGGAAGTGGGGCAGGGAGCACCCTGCTGGGTAATATGCTGCTTGCTTACACCACTGTCTGAAGTGGGTAGGGGATGTGGGGTTTAGTTTGCAGAAGGGAAGTCAGACTTGGCATCCTTTGACCAAGATGTTCGTCTAGGAGAAGAGGTCACACTGAGCACAGAAGCAGCACATTAGCAGCCCAAGGGGCTTACCCAGTGGGAGAGCACTGACACATTGCACATGGCTGTGTCTGCCAAGACCTTCACAGCTGGGAATACTGGAAGGGGCACGGGAGCTGACTTTCCCTGTAGGGAGCCAGGAAACCACACGGAAGCGATTTATCAAAAACTGGGGGTGGTTTAGAGGGTGGTATCACATACCCCTCTCCGAAGACTTGGAGCAGAGCCTGTGCCCTCCACTGCCAATCCACCCTGGGCTCAGACCCAGGCTGAGGACCTGGGGTGGGGTGTTCCCCCCACCAAGCAGTTCCACCGTAGAGGTCAAGAATCTTGGCTGTGGGTGTCCAGCCAGAGCCTGAACCCCAAAGCCCTGGGCTGGAGAACTGGTTGAAATTGCAGTGACCTATACCCCCTCCAGCATTGCCTAGTCTCACCTCATTTTCTTGGAACTGGCTCAATGCCCACACTGCGCCTAGATGCCAACATGAGCGGCCTCGGTCTGGTAGAGTAGCCACGATCTGCTCGATGGTCACCACACCCTTGGCCGTGGGCGGTGGAGCCCGCATAGTTGGAGGAGCATTGGGGATCCAGGAGCACCAGTCATACTATGAGAGCAGCACCAATAGTGTGGGTGCCCAAAAAGCCAGCGCCCGCCCACCTCCAACCTCACAGGGTACCAGCTTAGCAGGCTCCACCCCTCCCTGTGGGTACCACCCACACATCTCTCTGATGACCCCACCTCACCCTTTCCTGTTCCTCAAGCCACGCCTTCCAGGTCCCCATACCACTTCCTCTGTCCTCCTCCCTGGCTGCTCCTCTTGCCTTCCTTCCAGGGCCCCCCAGCCTCCCTCAGGGATGTCCATGTCCTCGCCTCTCCCTCCTCATACCCTTTCCCCCCTTCCCAGGGCCTGCAACTGTCCCAGACAGGTGAGTGCCTTAGGCATGTCTGCAGAATTCATGCCTACTACTGCTGGTTCCAAACTCAGGGACTGCATGGGGTTGGGTGGGACAGTAGGGCAGGAGCTGGAGACCAGGGAGCCCAGGAGTATGAGGGTGGCTCCGACTGTGGGGTGCCTGAGGCAGTGGTACCCCAGAGAGGGCTGTCTAGGCCTACCTGGCCGAAGTTTACAGCTGCGTGCTGGGCCGAGGCTGTGAAGATCACCACAGTCAGGTACTCAGACAACTTCTCCCTGCTCTTGATGGACTTGGGGAAGCCTAAGATGGAGCCACAGACCATGAGCCCATCCCTGTGAGGGACGCCTGGTTCACCCTCCGTCCTGAGTCCCACACCCACACATTCCAAGATCTACCCTGGCAAGACACTTGGAGAAGGGGTGGGGGCAGGTGCTCTGAGGGAGGCATTTGGTCGGGTGGGTACCCTTGGAAGCAAGATGTCCTGCCTCTTGTTTCTCGTGACTTTGACACGCCTGGGCTCTACAGCAGAAGCATAGAATCATGGCGGCCCACCTGAGGCTTTTCTGCCACGCATGCCGTACACGTAAACATCCTTCACGAAGTCCTGTAGTTCCTGGTCCTCCATCACTACCTGGTCATCTTCGTAGTAGATGCTTACCACCTCACTTGTGAACCTGGATCAGGAGGAGTGAGTGTCCTGCAGGTCCCTCTGGCAAGCCTGTCACTTCTTAATGTCTGACTCTAGATGTCATCTGCCCCTTCCCGCCATCAACACGCAACCCAGAAGCAGACCCACCTCACCACACTCTTCATCAGGGTTTGCCTTCCCACAGAACCTGGTCTCACTTACGACTGGATGGCTTCCCACACCAGCAGCCCATCATCTCGATAGAAGTAGTAGGGGATGTCCTCGGTGCTGTCCATGCCCCGGGCCTTGATGGCCTCCGGGAAGCACAGGGAGGAATAAGTCAGGTCCTGGACAGCCCTCTGCACCATCTGCACATGCCCACCACCCCCGGTGGCGTTGGCCTGTGAGAGAGCAGAGCTCCTAAGCTTGGTTGCTTTCCCCTGCCTCAGCTGTCCAACTTCCCAGCTTCATCTGTGAGAGACTTGGAGGCAGTGGGGTGACTGGGCACAGAGGTGTCCAGCCTGTATCCTGTGAGGCGCAGTGAGATGAGTAAGCCAAGCTCTCACTTCCATGGTTGGGTGACGTGGGGACTCACGTCCAGTGCCCTGGGTACTGTACAGTTGCAGCAGAGAAGAGGCTTTTGTGCAGAACGCAGCTTCCAGAAAGCCAATTAGCTCCTAAGAGCTGGGCACATCAGGGACCTGGCTGTGCAGGGGTTGGGCAACAGGCAGGATGGCAGGGGTGTAGTAGGGTGGGGGAAGTCACAGGTATCTTGTAAGGTGGGAGGGTCATGGGTTCGTGGAGGCAACTGGAACAGGACAGGATGCGACACATCACAGGGAAGAAGTCATGGTAGTATGAAGGGAAGAGGGCAGCTGCCTGGGGCTTGGGGGAGGGCCCGTCTCCCACACTTTCCAGACCCCAGATAGGGCTGTAGTGGCAAGGCAGAGCTCTTCCAGGCCCCGTGTGGAAGAGGGCACTCACCTTGTCAAAAAGGCCATACTCGCAGATAAGCTGTTCCCGGGCCTTAGTGTTGATGGCTATGGTAAACCTCACATGGGCTACCAGCAGCTGAAGGGAGAGGAGAAACCTCCGTGAGGGTCTGGTTGCTCACTCAGCACTCCCAGGCCAGCCCACAGGGCAGCCACTTTGGCCCCAGAGGGAAAGTGAAGGTCTGTGTGGAGATCTTCCTGTCCAGAGCTTTAGGAGGCCTGAGGACACCATTGGGATGCTTAGTGGCAAAGGCCCTGGTGCTGGCCCAAGGCTTCACTGTGAGCAAAGTCTGACCACCATCCTCTGAGGCACATCTGTCCCAGGGCCCCTCTTTGCAACCTACTCCTAGCCATCACCACCCCAACACACATACACACACACACACACACACACACACACGCACGCACGCACGCACGCACGCACGCACGCACTGGGATGCCAGCTACTCTCCCAGATGTTCGTTTCTTGTAGGTGGAGCCGTAGCTGGCTGTACCTTGAAAATGGGGTGCACAG